AGCCACATTTTGAAAAAAAAATGCATGGAAAATTAAAGAAGCCGAACATCCTATAGGACAATTTTATGGCGTGCTTTCTTGCCCCTTTTCGAGGTTTTTTCTCTAGATCCCACAATTCGTTCCCGCCATTCCCCATTGCCTATCACGGCTATGGACTCGCGGAGAGCCCAACATCAACGCTTTGCGGCTACTTGTCAATCTTAGCTGCTGTCCCGATATGGTCCCGTACCTGCTTGGAGCAAAGGTAAAAGTGCGCTCCTTCAGCTCTGAAATATCCCCTGATGTTACCATATTTGGAGGGGGTGAGCGGTCTCCTACGATTGCTGGATACGGATCGAGAAGAGGTACTGCTTCGAGCGATTACTTGGTTGCTTTGTACTTCGTCGGCTGTGGATGCACTCCATTTGACTTACGATCGGATAGCTTGCCATAATCAGGTCTGTACTTTTTGGGTAATTTTTCATTTTATGGGACGTTTATACTGACTTGGGATTTGTGAGAGCCAGCGAAATTTGCTAACAATAAGTATCTGTTAAGAAATATATTTCAGAAGTGTCAAATATCCAGCGAACTATCGACTTCCAAAAAAAATGTCCGTATGATTTCAAAAAAAAAATGCTCACAACTAATAAATATATTTCAATGTTTTTCACCGTCCACTTTCGTATTAATCTGCTTTCAAAGAAGTAAAATACAATAAAATACGTGCTTTTTTCATCAACTTATTCAAGCCCTTCGATGCTCTACCGTTATCACTATCCACTCAGGACCCATTCCGAAATCCCGCGCACACGCTTTATTACTCTATATATGGTCCAAAAAGTCGTGAAGAGTTGGAACAACGTGCTAATGAGTTGACAAATCACGCAAATCCAGATGTGGTGAACAAGGCTATGCGATTACTGGAGATACTGAAGAATGTAAGTACATGTATTTTGATGCGTTTCTCATAAATCAATATATCGATTTTTCAGATCCCTCCATTCCCAACACTTGGATCACAGCTAAACCGCTTGTGACCTTCGTAGGTCACTCGCATTTAATTAGATTCAGATTGTACCTAGACTATGTATAATGACAAAGTCTGATTTTCACTTCTGCTACGATATTCTAAGTTTGCTAGTCTTCCTTGTCGCCTTCCTTTGTCAAGTTCTGCTTGTCCGACTTTCTGCATTTTTACGGCATTTTCCATTGCTGCACGCGTTTCATGTTACCGGTGGTCTTGAACAGGCAATAAATTGTCAGCGGATCTCTGTAGAGATTCTTCAAAAGATTTGTGATGTATCTGTATTTAAATAAATTATTTGTGTATTAACTCTTCAGAAATTTTATGTATATTTATTCCATAGGAAGTGCGCCCTTACCATAGAACACAAGTAATACGTAATACTCATTCAAGGGCAAAAAAATAGTGAACGCAAGACAGAAAACCAAAAATCATTATCATTGAAAAAAGGTTCTCGTATAACAGCACTCAGTTTGAAAAGTCACTCTGACACTACCACAGCAGTATAGG